ATTTTACCACATCTATGAGGCTGCTAGGATCTGCACTCTTCCTCTCTCTAATATCATAAATGCATCTTAATCTAGAATCTGTAATGTGGCTGTACATGAGAAAATACTTCATACTTTTAACTAATACCTTGGACAAATGTTGATCTTTAAGAATGTGTTCCAGTGTATTAATTATGTTCCTTAATAGTGGTATGAGACCTGAAAGCAAGGTTTTCTTGCATTTTAAGAAACCAGATGTACAGCACTCAGACTAAAGGTAGACATCACTGTTAGATCCAATTGTCAAACATAAGGTTTCAAGCAGGTGCAAGCACTTGCACATACAAACTATTATATTAAAGCCATGTGCCTCCAGGCCACAGATCCCTGGTGTGAATGGTTCAATTGATACGAGTGGAACCTCAGTGCATTTGTCTGAACACAAGGCTTTATTGCAAATGAATATTGATAGAAACATACTGCAAGTCCAGGCTCACTGAAGCTGGACTCAGGCCAAAATGCTCTGCTTGCTATTTGTAAGACCCCCATGTGTCAGACCCTTCCAGTCTTTTAATATTTTAAACAGAGCACAATAAACTGAATTTCCTCAGACTCCTTTCAAAGAATTGGTATGATTTGAATGAATGCATTTGCAGAGAGGAAGTAGAAACAGTGTGTCTGACTTGGGTTGACCTACACTGGCAAAAGGGTAAGTCACTAAGTGTGTATAAGGGGTTTTGTAAATTTTCTTTTGTATTTAAGATGATGCAGTATAAAGGCTGGAAAAGTGTAATATAGCTGTAAACAAATTCTGTTAATAGGGAAATGTACAGATTCATTTTGTACTATATCTTGTTGAATAAAGATGCCACTTTGGTGATTGGCCTGTAATGAATGCTGTAAGAGAACTTGTGTTGCCTTTTATTAAAGATATTTTTGACAAAACAGTGATTCATATTGTTAAACTTTACATTCCCATCTTTCAGATTTAATACTGATTTATTTTAATATTGCAATGTGCAATCCAATGCTTATTTACTGAGAAGCAAATCCCATTGAGTTCAAAAATATACACATCATGCATGCCAGTGATGCTATAAAAATAATAGCTATAAATTATGTACCTATGTACTTCATACCTATGAATGTTTTGGAAGAATAAGTGAGCCATGTTTGTTCTTACATGTTTGTCATTTGTAGTGATATGGAGAAAGCAGTGTATCACCTGCAATATACACCGTAATATATATTAATAATCAAGCCTAGACAAAATAAAGCAGTTTATGTGCATAAGAATAGTTTCCAGGCATAAGGATGGGCAAAGAACAACCCACGGCCTTCTGGCAGCATATGTCTATGGACATTCACAACCCTGGGGATGTACGCTCTATTTAGCAGTCACCATGGGAACGAAATTCTGCATACAGTACTAGCCTTCCCACTCCCTCTAAAGAATATGATTGCTGTGCAGTATAGCCTTACTGGTAACTTTAACATCACTTTGCTGCAAAGTTTTGTTACACTCAAAAGAGTTTACATGAAGTAGCAGCAGGATTTGAGAAACAATGCAGTTTTGTATCACCGGACTGAAATGGACAAGCTATAATGTATTTTTCTGCAAATAAGGCCAGGCCATGTGCTTCCAGGCAAGCTGTTTTCTGTTGGCCTCTAATCTGTTAAAAAGTTGTAAGACCAACCACTCTAATGCATAATGAAACACTCAACGTACTTAAGAGAAATTGCCATGACAGTTCTGTGTGTGACATTAGAACAAGCCCCTAACCTGATTTTTAGGGACAAATTTAAGTCAGATGCCTTCTTGTCACAATGAGCAGAACTGCCAGTCAATCACTACATATGATAAAAACAGAAATTAGATCATTAGATATTATTAGTTCTAAAGGTTCATTAAAATACAACCATCCCAATCTACTTCTAATTTATTTTGAAACATTTTTTAAAAAATAAATTACTCATTTCAATAGTAATAACATTACAACCTAGCACATTTGTTACAAAATAGACAATATTAACTACTGAACTGAAAATACCCTTAATAAAAGTGCCATTAAATAGGTAGAGAGCGGCAAGGCTAAGGTTTATTTTGCATTGCTCAGCTTTGTTAGCCCCTCTACTTTTTCATTTTTGCTTTACGTACAGAATATACTAGATGTGGGTTATTTAGCTTCATTTTTGTTCTGTTTCCTGGTCTGATTTATTTTTAGCTTATATTCATGACATTTAGTAACTTTTGGAACTGCGTTTTTAAAAGTGATTGAGATCTATAGTATTTTAAAAAGAAATTGCAATATAGTGCAGGTATTTTGCATTTACTTTAAAAGAGAATTAAGAACGTGCTCAAACTTCTTCTAGTGAAATAACTGGAACAGAATATTTCTTACCCAGATTATGCTATATATTTTTAAAATTAAGAATTAAGTTCATAGTTTTTGCCTGAGAAAAAAATATAGAAAATGGAAAAGATAAAATGAGATATTGTTGAACAGAATGCTATATGATCTAAATCTTTTTTTTTACTTTTTTTTTTAAGCTTTCTACTGATGTTCATACAGATTGTTCAATATGCAAAAATGCTCCCAAAGCAGTAGGAATGAGCTTGTAAATTGGGAAAATTTGTTTAAATTCAGACTCGGTCTACTCTCCAGCATGATCAACCCAAACAGATTATTAAGTCAAATTCTAACTTTATTTAGCCAGACAGAATCATTATATAAACATGGAGCAGGTATATTCCAATGTCAAGTCTGAGAAAAGAACTACCAAGAGCAGGAGGAAAAGACTTAAATATATAGCTTGATTTTTGAATTCTGCAGTAGGCAAATGCCTGCAATAAAACAACTTACCTACAAGTAATTAAGGCTGTGAAGTTCTGCTGTTATCTGGTTCCTGAATGCAGGTTGAGTTTCTGGAAGAACAGAGGTTGATAGCTATACCTGGCCTGAAATCTGACTGAACGATTTAACTATGAATGAAAATGTATATTCCATGTAAATTGAGTAAATGGTAAAGCAGCTTTAATCTATTAACTATTTATAAAGTATCATTATACAGAAAAGGAAGATATATTTTAAACCCACGGTTTTTTATTGATTTGCTTATTTGTTCCATCTATATGGCCGCCCATCTCAACAAGTATTTCAAAGATTTTTTTTTTCCCCATGTAATCAGGACATAGACTAAACCTGTTGGCTTCACCATTGTTCTGCTCCTTCATATTAGGGGAGCAATACTAAACAAATTCTGTTTCACATTTTCATCAAATTCAGATAAGTCAGTTGATGTGCTGAAGTAGTATGTTAAATTGGTAGATGACTGAATAAAGCCTGTCCAGATAAAAGGGAAGTTCCATTGATAAGCAATTCATCTTACCTGGAAAACAATGTCCTCAACTGAGTTACACTCCATCTTAAAAATATTGAATGTGTTGCTGTAGATACAGTAGTAGGTTTCTTTAACTGAAAACTGGGCAGAATTTTGTTCCCCCTTGGCCGTTCATTTGTTTGTTTGTTTGCTTGTTTACTTATACAATTTATATGACCACCAATCTCATTGCAGTGACTCTGGGTAGCTAACAGTAATAAAACAAAAAGAGCATAAATCCAAAACAATTCAAAACAATAACAATAACAACCAATACACAGAGTGTCAGAGGTCCAAATAAATCCCATCCATCATACAAACAGCCCCATGAAGAATGCATTACAACAGTCCAAACCATAATAGTCCAAATAGGGGGCAACTACAGCATGAATGACTGTGAATAGGGCCTCTCAATTCAGAAACAAGATTGCACTATTATCTCTGCTCTGTAAACCAAATGTGACTACTGCATTTTGCTGTACTAAAAGTTGACTTTAGAATGAATTTAAAATGTAAAATGCAGCTTCTGATCATCTGTATCAATGCATTTTGCTGAACAAGACAAAAAACAATGGATGTGTCCCATTGTCTTTCACAGACAGATGGAAACTGAACTGGAGTTGAATGTTATTTCAGACTGGGGGTGGGATGACTTTGCAGGCACAGCACAGGCTTTATATTTTGACTGCCACCCTCTCCTCTCCATTTCCCAAGATCAGCAGCTTACTCACATTAATAGAGGGCCACCATGTGACAGATCTCTCCTTTTTAAATCAATTTCTCTGAAGTATCCAGCAGGAAAAGGTATTGTTCTGTATTTTGGGTGCTCTATGACCATTGGAAGTCATAGGATAATAAAAACAAGTATATTTCAGTGGCTGGGTTTGCACATTATAACCCATAAACTATGTTTTACTTGCTACAGTGGCTGGCTTCATACTACTGTTGCTTAGGGCAATGTGTGAGAAAATAAATGATAATACTCTGCAGTATTACTATAAAATGTCATGAAATCTATGCCAAAGGGAAACATATGCCATTGATTCTTGGTAAGTGAAATCCAGGAAGAAAATTATAATAAAAAGGTCTTTATATCAATTTCTGCTTGAGATCGGTAGGTTTCCATCTCGATTGGCCTCAGGAAAGTGCAAAGGCATCCTTTTAATTTAGCTCTCAGAGGTATATTGATTGTTCAGTTCTGCCTGTGTCCCTTTTGGAGGAGAGAGGGACGAATGATTGCTTAATTTGGCATGCTTTTCTTGATGCAACATTTGGAGCATGCGGAAAAGATAGCTAACACACGATTAGAATGAATTAATGGTACTAAATTATTATACATTTGTTTCTTTCTGTGGCGGATTAAAACCGGGACATCAACGCTCCGCTCTCCAATACCTCGAGGGAGGGAACACTCGGCCTCACAACGTAATTTGCCGCGCCCACAATCCTCTTCAGCCAATCCCAGCTCGCTTTTGCTCTGCTCCGGCCGGCTCAGGAGATGGCCCAATAGAGAGGCACTGGCTCTTTTCTAAAAAGAAGGAGGGGAGAAGCCGAGTAGCTCTTCCACTTTAAGGGGGCCGCCGGCTGTTGCTTAGCTTTCCTGCCGCTGCTTGGGATTGAATGTTATTTTCCTCGGCACCGTCCAATTTCTCCTCTTTTGTGCCTGGAGCGAGCGGGGGAGCCAAACTCCATGGAGCTTCTCAGGTAATCTGTCTGCTCCAGCCTGTCTTTTACCTCTCTACCCTTCTGCGAACCGAACGAGCAGGTGGAGGATAACCGGCCAGTCGTAGCCAGAGTCCGTCTGGCTCCTCCTTCACCTCTGCTCAGCAGCCCTGATAGGGTCAGTAAGAGAGCCTCACCTTTGTGCAGAAATACGTCTACGGCCATGTTCCCTCTGCTGAATCCCTGAAACTGATCAAAGGAAAGGAGCGTGCTTGGAAGCGTGCATTGCTCGGCGGCGGACTAAACAAAGACCAGATATTAACTGCTTCGCTCCTTCCCTTTCAGTAGCTTGGCTTGGCTTGCCTTAGCTTAGGCTGCGTGCAGATGAAAGACGGGTTATCGAGGTTAGAGTGTAGCTTGTCTCCTTTCTTTCAAAACTCTGTTAAAATATATTTTCGGCAGGAGGCATCGGGAAGTCAAAGAGTGGTGCTTAACCCTCCCCCACACAGTGCGCGATTAGCACTTTTGTATGTAGCTTGGATGAGTTGTGGTTAACTGGTGGCTTGAGGGATTGCTCATAGTCTGGTGATCCAAATGTTCCTACTTTACGGTGCAATCGACTACGAGACTCCTGATAGCTCATTTGCTCGGTAAATGTTAGGTAAACGAGCACAGTGTTTCAGCCCTAACTGCACCCTGTTGCTTTGCATCCTACTATGTTCAGGCATTCCTTCCTAAGATCTTTACCTGGGCAGTTCAAGCACCTGCTTAAAGGGGAAATCATTGTTTCCATCATATGCCCTAGCAACCTGTCAAGGGGCTGCCAGAGGGATGGCTCGCCACTCTGCCAATCAAAACCCACTCTGCAGCTCTTGCAACCTTAATAGACGTTTTCAGGGAGGCAAAAGACAGGAATGGGAGAGTTACAACCAAAGGGGATATTACCTGGATTTCCTCCTTGTAAAATGTTATGACAGAGGATGATTTTACAAATGAAAGCATCTTCTAAAGGTATGCACTCATAACCCAGGGGAGTGGGTGGGGGTGAAGGTTTTGACAAATGCAAATTCACAGTATGTCTTACTTGCCACCCTCCTGTCTTTGAATGCATCAATTACTCCTATACTTAATGTACCAAGCTAAATCTGCTTGTATATTAATATTGTAGGTGGCATTCTCAAGGTTAGAAAATTGAAAAGGCAATTTATAACTTGTCTTGGCTTGTTTTATGAGGTTTAGTAATACACTTACAGTATTAGACAAAAAAGCAGTGGTAAAAATAAAACGCAGTATATGTGGGAATGGTTAAACTGTTGTTTCCTAGATTAATGTAGGGGTGTTATTTAGCACAAAGGGGGAAAATATTTTAGATTTCTGTGCCTGAAGCAAAGAAATATGAGTCTCCTGACCCTCTATCCTGAATCAAGATGCATAGATTCTAAAAGCAGTCTTGACATTTTCCCATTGGGGCAGAAAATCCATCTGTGATCCTCCTTCTCCCTGGTAGTAAAAATATAACACTGAGGCATTAAGTAATTAGCAACATGTTATGCTTTCATACCATCTAACTGAGGGCCCTCAGTTGTTGTTAATGGGGGAAGGGAGCCTAACCTTAGTGGGAAGGACGAGGGGTTCTGTGTGCCTCAGGTGTCAAAAGGTCTTGGAGCACTGCTCACCTTAAATCTATATTATATGTGTGCACATATATCCCTTTCTAAAGAGGAATAGAAACCAGATCTTGGAGAAGTAACAGAAGAAGCCTATTCTGAAAGAAAAGGGGTCAGATATCTGTCATCTTCTATCATTTGAAGAATTCTGCCTTTGTGACAGGGGAAAGAAAAAAACTTTGAAGCATCAATATTGTATTGTTCTTGTGGGAGTGAGGCTTTTGATACTGAATGCCTCAGCTTATGTTATGGCATGGAATGATCAAGGGGACTCTGAAAACTCAGTGTTGCCAATTCATGTTTGCAAATTATTTCCTGAGGAGTAAAGTTGTTGGGTTTGGTTGGAATTAATATTTCACACCAATCCTAGATATTGTAGTTTTATGTCAGTGGTGATCAGTATTTTAGAGGCTAGGGGCTGGATTGATTTTGGAGGTGGGGGACTAATGGCTACTATGGGTGGAGCAATTATAGAAAGCCAGTGGAGTATGTTACATATATAGGATTTTGTTTCTTTCCTGCCTCTTGGGGATGGGTTATATTTGTAGGGGTTTGCTTTTTTTAAAGTGTATTAAGTATATTTTAGTCCATGTACGACAGTTTTGTTGCCCTTTTCATGTAAATGCAGTGGGAAACTGTTCTAATAAATTTGTGCAATTGTACCACTGAAAATTAATACTAAAACGAAAGGGGATTCCAGTGACTGCAAAACAGAAGTTGGTGACTGCATGTAGCCTCAGGTTGCCTGATCCTTTTCTTTGCGAGAGGCTGACATCTGAGGATCTGGATAAGCAAAGGCGTAAGGAACCCCAACATAAGATAGCCGGAAGGAATGCAGGAGCCAGTGAATTGACCGTCAGAAAACCCGGTGGAAAGATAGGTGAGTGAAGCTTGAGAGAAAAGATAGAGGAGATTAGATTGTTCTCAAGTTCTTTCCTTCAACAAGAAGGAGCCAAATTAGAAGTCAAGGCTGAATCTCACTGTCAGTAACAGAGCTCGTAGCAGTATACAAAGCATTCTCTTTAGGTTTACTATACAGTCATGTGAAAAAGTAAGTACATCCCATGTAAAGTTTATTATTTTTTTAAACATGTGGACATGTCAATATTTTATCTTCCTTCAAACAGTAGATAAAGATAAAAGTGATATATCTGGAAAAAAAACTTTGAAAATTGACTTTGCATTCATTTATTCAACAAAAAATTAACAGATATGCCATTTCTTTCTATGGGGAAAGTAAGTACACCTTTGGCTCTAATACCTGGTATTGCCCTCTTTGGCAGAAACAGCCTCAAGTAAGCATTTCTTATAACTGTCTACCTTCTCTGACATTGACTGGGAGGAGTTTTTTCCTATTCCTTCATGCAGTTTTTTTCAGCTGTGCAACATTTGAGGGGTTTCTTGCATGCACAGCCCATTTCAAATGATCCCACAACATCTCAGTGATATTTAAATCTGGGCTTTGACCTGGCCATTCCAGAACCTACCCACCCACCCACCCACCCACCCTCCCTCCCTCCCAGCCATTCCTTGGTGGATTTCCTCTAATGTTTAGGGTTGTTCTTATATTGTAAGGTCCACTTTTGGTTGAGTGTCAATTTCTGACAGATGGTCTCACATTATCCTCAAGCACCTTCTAGAACAATGAAGAATTCATAGTAGGTTCTGTGATAGTGAGCTACCCAGACCCTGATGCAGCAAAGCAACCCCAAACCATAACATTTCCACCACCATGCTTTACAGTTGGTATCAAGTTCTTCTGGTGAAATGTTGTCTGGTTTTAACCAAACATGTCTTCTGGTACTGTGACCAAATAATTATCTTTGTCTTGTTTGTCCAGAGCACATTGTTCCCGATGTTCTGGTCTTTGCCCAGGTGTTCATGAGCAAACTTTAGTCTTGCCGTAATGTTCTTTCTGGACAGCAAAGGTTTCCCTTGGCACACCTCCCACATAGATCTAATTTATGCAGCTTCTTTCTAATGGAAGACTCATGCACTTTGACATCAGTAGTGGCAAGAACTACCTGTAGGTCACATGATGAAATTCTCGTGTTCTTAGAGACTTCTTTCAGCATCTTGCATTTTGCTCTCAGGCTGAACTTGCTGGGACAGCTTGGCCTAGGCAGATTGGCAGTTATTTGAAATCTTCTCTACTTGTAGCTGATCTTGTGGGCAATGGAATGATTGATGTCCAATTGTTTGGCGATCTTTTTAAATCCCTTCCCAGACTCATAGGCATCGACAATCTTCTTTCTGAAGGTCTTAGAGAGCTCTTTCACCCTAGGCATGATGATACACACACTTCAACAATGAAGAGCAAATCAAACTAAATGACTGAGGTTTAAATAAGACACGTTCCTCCCAGATCCTTTCTAATGTTTTAAACACTTGCACCTGATCCAGTGCACCTGATTCTAGTTTTAGATATTTGAATTAGTGATAAATGTAGAGGTGTACTTACTTTTTCCATATGCGAAATTTGCATTTATGTTTATTTAAATTACACAATGGGTTGCAAAAGTAAATGGTGCATGATATTTGTTATATCTCCTTTATGTATCAATATTGTTAAAATGAAGATCAAATATCTGTATGTTGAAATATGTTTTAAAAATCAAACATTTCAATGGTTTGATGAGAAGCCCAATGGCTTCTGTAAAGATGTCCCAGATCATTTACAAAAATGTCCTAGAAAACAGGGCTATATAGATATGCAAAGGGTGAGTGCAAGTTTATCTGTCTGCCACAACTTGGTCCCCCTTTGCCTGGGTGAGTGAGTATTGAGAAAGTTCTGAAACCTGCATTCCCCAGCTTTATTTGTCTATATTTTTATTTAAACATATAGGCATTTTTTAAAAAGCCTGCTGAATCAGAATACCTTTGCTGCTGCCTCAAAACATCCTTCTCTGACCACCATGATGAAGAAAATGACAAAATCTGCATCATGTCATCATGAAGCAAACTCCACCCCTCTGTACTTATGTCTCAGCATTGAACACAAGTATATAAATAGTGGGGTTTTCATTGTGGCATCATGATGCACATTTTGTCATATTCCCCACCCCACCAGTGTCTATGCTGCTGTCCCCAAGAAAGTGACCTTCAGCTGTATACTGCCTCCAGAAATATAGATTCCATATAATGAGCATGGTCATTTGCTATTGTTCTTCATGGGTTTATCTAATCCTCTTTTCAGATCATTAAGTTAGTAGCCAACCACACAGACTATGGAGTCATTGGTGCTCTCTGAGCTTGGTTGCTTGATTGCAGACGTTTCATTACCCAACTAGGTAACATCAGTCAATCAAACAACCAAGCTCAGAGAGCACCAAGGACTCCACAGTTCAACCCTGAGCTTCTGTTAGTACCAGATAG